GTATTTAAGGATAATAATTGTATATGCAACTTATATTTATTTATAAGTTTTCACTTTTCACATTTCACATTTGAGAGAATCATTGTAAACATACGAGTTTGATGAGTCCATCATATAGATCTACTCTTCCATGTGCTTTTATGCGGGTCCATCAGAATGATCCACTCTCTTGTTATTGCTTGGTAGATTTGATGAGTATCTGTACAACCATCCCCATTAATCACCATAAAAGATAACAAGCAACAACTTCAACAATAAAAAGACTCGTAATCAATAGCATGAGTCAGTTGAGCAAATTAGTAAAGTTTCGCGTACTTCTTCTTAAGAGCAACATATGAGTTTAGTTTCTTAACCTGCACAAACACTACATCACCTGACATTAGCAAACTTTGAAAATTATTGACATATGAGTGCATCAAGAGGTGTAAGAAGAATTCAACCGAGTCGTTGGACTTGACCGGCCGGTAAGAACCAAACAAGATTTCTCATGCTTATTACGTACTTGCAATGTGGTTAAAGAATCATTAAGGATACACCCGCCGACACGCCTCTAACGCTCCCTCACTGAGCCAACGCAGATGTCAAGATAGGAGGCTCAAACGTCCAAAGAGATTATTGGAAGAAGATGTTGACTGAAAGGTCATGATTTTAGGCTGCTTTGGTTTGGAGCAGGAAGAAGGGGTTGTCCCCGTGGACAACTTGTTACCAATCTGGCGACTTCCATGTTGTCATTTGCTTCACCACTTTGTTTGGACAACCACCTCAAGGGACTAAATCGTAGGAGATTAATATGTCTGAAAACCCTGGACCAATTACTTGCATGCGTAAGACGGTAAGAGTGTGTAAGCAACAGTGAGAGAGGCAGATTCTGTACATCCTCGGAAGTTTCAAATTCTTTATAATAAGGAAGATCAAGAAATTAAATAATTCCAAAAGCGAGATTGATGATGATAAACTCTCTCTATAATTGCACCTTGAAATTCATGAAATCGGCCTTAGAGCTTTCTCCGTGACGAACCGTTGTTGGAAAGAGCTGACTCGCACGATCTCGTATCCGTAAACTCGAAGTTCAAGATCCTTAGACCACCGAAGAAAATTTCGCCTCAGATCCAAACCTATAACTATCGAAAGCTATTTTTCCAAAACATAGATTAGGAATATAAGCATTTGGAACAAATATTGTTTCCAAATGTCGACCATGAATGAGATCCCTTGCTCATCGTGACTTCCAACAAAACAATCGAATCTTGATTTAATATGATCTTACATCCTGTATGAAGCATTTGGATATGCTTCGGTAAAGCAAAAATCAAAAAAGTTAAGAGTGCTAGGCAAACCGTTAATTGGTTTTCGCTTACTGGTCAAGATGTCCTTTGATTTTATAAGAACAATTTATTGGAAGATGGGGAATATAGTCAAACGTAGAGGAAGGTTCAAGCATTTATCTATTGTTTTTCTTTTTCAAATATCAGAATATATATGTGTCGTTAAGTTATATTTCCATTGGTTAACATAAGTTTTTTTGTACACATGTCAATCCTATAATTGCAA